CGTCGGCATCCATAACCTTATCGTGGAGGTCGACGCGCAATACATCAAGGGCATGCTCCAGAATCCCGATCTCGCACCTGGCGCAAGCATCAATCGCTGGATCCTGGGAATCATCACCTTCCATTTCAATCTTGTCCACGTCCCAGGCACCTTGCATGGCCCCGATGGGCTTTCGCGACGAACCGCGCAACCGGGAGATGCACCCGTAGACAGCTCAGACAACTTCGAAGACTGGATCGACCGCGTCCACGGTTTTGTTCACCACGTCCTGCCAGTGCCTTTGCGCAGTGTCCCCACAGTTTCTACGCCCATGCAGCTCTTCGCCCTTGTAGATGCGACTGAGGACGGTCGAGATCTCAGTGGGGGGGAGGGCGCTACCACTGAAGCGACTACCCAGCAAGCGGCAAGGGCGAAGGCACGAGCAAAAGTCAGATTCGCGACAGAAGAACACACACACGAGCTTCCAGTACCAGAGGGTCCTCCGGCGATGCCCTACTCGGAACACGCGTCGCGAGTGGACAGACGTCTGCGCAACGTGAAGGATTGGCTGCGGACACTTCAGCGTCCTGCGCACCTCAGCAAGGACTCCGCGCACGCGACCTTCATCAACTGATTGTATGGAAGGAGAGGCGGCTAGCAGTCATGGTCGCAGCGCATGACAAGATGGGACATCGTGGACACTACGCGACGCTTCAGCACCTTGCCCAACGATTCTGGTGGCCAACTATGCGCGAAGACACGGCGTGGTACGTGCGGACCTGCCATATCTGTCAAATGCGACAACACCGGTTGGTCCTCATCCCTCCTGTCGTGGCGGCGCCTGGTGCGCTCTGCACGAAGTGGTACATCGACACTATGAAGATGCCGACGTCCAGCGGATTCACTATGCTAGTCGTCGCGCGGTGTTCGGTTTCCGCGTGGCCGGAATGGCGTATGCTACGCGTCGAGACCGCGAAGACACTGGCGGATTTCATCTTCCAGGACCTGCTCTGCCGGTGGGGGGCGATATCGGAGATCGTGACGGACAACGGGGCCGCGTTTGTCAGCACGGTACGGGATCTGCAGAAACGGTTCAAGATCCATCACATCTCCATCTCTCCGTACAACTCCAAGGCGAACGGCATAGTGGAGCACTCCCACTTCGACACACGTCAAGTTCTCTACAAGATCATAGGCGGCGAGCAGCACAAGTGGGCGCAAGGTGCTCACTTCGCGTTCTGGGCGGAACGGGTCACTGTCCGAAAGCGAATGGGTCGTTTGCCGTACTTTGCGGTCACAGGCTGCCATCCGGTGCTACCCCTAGACATTGTGGAAGCGACGTACCTTTCGCTGGCGCCCGACAGGCTTCTCAATACTGGTGATCTCATCGCACGGCGAGCAGTCGAGTTGCAGCGGCGGCATGAACAGCTCGTGCGACTCAACTCAAAGGTATTCCGTGCCCGAGTAGAAGCGGCGCGGAAGTTCGAGTGTGACCATCAGCACACAATCCGCGACTACGACTTCAAGGCTGGAGCCCTTGTTCTGATGCAACACACTCAGATCGAGAAGTCCCTCAATTGCAAAATGCGCGCACAATACACTGGGCCTTTGGTAGTAGTCTCGAGGAAGCGCGGTGGTGCCTATGTACTGTGCGAACTCGATGGCTCCGTCCTACATCGCGCGGTCGGCGCCTTCCGGCTCATCCCCTACTTAGCGCGTACGGAGATACCGCTCCCATCGAACTTCGCGGACATTTTGGACGAGCGTTTAGCAGAACTAGTGGACTCCGAGGACGACGGCGAAGACGAACCGGAACCAGAGCTCTTCTCCTCAGAACAGGAGGACGTCGAGAAGGACCTCTAGACTTGCCATATCCAGCCATGGACAGACATTGTCGATACAACGAACTACTATTACATTCTTTGTGCTTTGGACTTCGGGCCTCTGCCCCCCCTTCTTCTTTGTACTTACATGCCTTGCGCTTCTCCAATATACGTACCTATTCTGTCGTCGAGGCAGCTCTCTTACATTCGTTTTGGCTTCTTACTTCTCTCACTGGGGCACGAACAGGATCATACGGACTGGGGCGATTACGTATGGACAAGTACTGGAGCGACAGGGGGCGGGGAGAGAACTAATGTATGCGGACAGGAGGCTCCTTCCCAACGCCGACGCGTATCCGAGGCTCAGGCGGAGAAGGCGCGAGCCACGGACTCGGTGTTTGCGGCCAGGGCAGTTTCGACAAAGGGGACCGGCGGCGGAGCCTCGCGGAGCGTAGACGGGCCAGCAGAGGAGGCAGCGTTGGCGGTGGCGTCGTGCGTCAGGGCGGCGAGGCCCGCATCGGAGCGGACGATCGCCTGGTCCAAAAAGCTGCGCGTCTGTTGCAAGAAGCCGGCGAGACCGGCGGTAGCTCTGGCGGTCATGGTGCCGTACACTTCAGCCCGCGCTTTAAAGAGGAGCTGCGTCTGAAGCAGCACGCGAAAAGCGACCGCTTCATCCTTCGAGAGGCCAGGGAGCATGGACTGCGGATTGACTCGTTCATTGGACAAGGACTTGCGGAACCCACGAGTAAACTTGCGACGGAAGCACTTGACCTCGTAGTCGACGTAGCCGAGGAAACTGGCTTCAGTAATAGGCCAGTAGGGGCGAGGGTCCTCGGCGGAAGGCGAGGGCATGAAAGGACCGTCAGCGGGGGTGTCGTCCGAAGGCTCTTGGAGGGGCTCGAAACCCTGCGGAAGCAAAAGCGGGAAGTGCTTAGCGAAGTCGCGATACAGGGGAGACAGGTAGATCACGCGTACCGCTTGCAGCCGCTTGTGGGTACCTAAGTCCCGGCTGCTCATCTCGCCGATGGGAGCGACCGAGGTCGAAGCGAGGTCAGGCACAGCGCCGTTAGCGGCGGGGGCTAACGCGGGATCAGCACGAGGGAGACGTCTTGCGCGATGGCGCAAAAGGAGAGGCCGACCTTGCTTCGATAAAGGCGGGGAGTCTGCGAGGCCGATGGCGAACCCGGGCGAACCCGGGGTCCTGGAAGATGGGTGAGACACTACAGTCAGGCGCGGTTGCGGTGGCGTCCTGGAGTGGCGGGGCCGACACCGGAGCCTCTTGAGGAGCCTTGGGAACCGTGGTGGCAACGGACAGCGAACGAGCAGCTGGCTGCCCGGTAGGATCCTCGAAGGACGCGTCTGCCATGTCCGCATCCAGGGGCTCGTTGTCCGCGGACAGAGCCGGTTCCTCGTCGACGTAATCATCGTCGGAGGACTCGGAGCCGGCGGGCGCGCCGCCCTCTGCATCCTCCTCCTCCTCAGCCACGGACCCGATAGGCTCCGGTGCGGTGGTGGCCGATTCACTGGAAGGGAGCGGTGTAAGCGGATAGGTGGGCGGAAAACCCAGCTCCTCGGTAAGAAGGTCGATCACCCAGGACGGGATCAGGTAGGGAGCGTTGCGAACGTGGCAGATTTCGAAGACTTCGCGCGCGATTGGGGGCGCCGCTGGGGAAAAGGGCAGAGGATCAGTACTGGCAACGGAGGACGTGGTGGGCGGAGACCATACCGTAGGTGAAGTTGTTCTCCCGGTACCAGTCCACATACCCCACGTGTTGGATTGACGCCCTATCGCCCGCCGCCGTGACCGCTTTCACCAGGTTGCAAGACTGGCGTTGATACCAGCAGCGGTCACAGCGGTCGAGGCCTTCGCGCATAATGCATTTCATGGGGGTGCCATCGGGGTCGTGTCCACGACATCCAGTGCACTAGGAAGAAGAAGAGGGTCAGCACGGAGACGAGGAGCCAAGTTGCGAAGGCGGCACTACGTACGTGTTCCATCTTCTTGGCCGGAATCCGCGCACCGCACGGGTACACTGGGGGCGAAAAGAGAGGGAGGCCAGAGTGGTGCGCCCGTGGACCGCGTGCCTTGCCAGCGGCCGTCTTCTTGCTAGGACGGCGGCTGCCAGCCTTCTTCTCGACAGGGACTGCCTTTGACAATGATACCTGCTTGGAGGACGACACGACGGGCTGGCCCTCCCCCTCGGACTCGGAACCAGACGGCACATGCTCGTACTCGATGGCCTTCGCCTTCCCCTTCTCCTGGTGTTTGCCTTTACCTTTCGGCGGTTGGCGCAGTGTCTGGGGTGAGGACGAAGCGACGGTGTTCGCGCGGGCGGTTTGGCCGCGACGCCCTCACCTCGGCTGTTTAGTCGGCGGCACTGCAGAATCAGGCGTCGCAGAACAATGCGGACACTTGGTGGACGCTTTGTCCGTGCAGGGACTGAATTTAGTTTGCTGATATCACCCATTATATCATGTAAATCCTGGATTAATCAGGCCATCTATTCTATGTGGTTCAAGGCTGTAGAAATCCGCAGAGTGCGTGCTAAACCGGATTAGCATCGGATTAGTCGTCCCTGATCAATTACATTTCTGGAGGAGTTGCTAGATCAAACGTGATTAGTAGCGGATTAAAGTACATGAGGTCTATGGCAAGTAATTTACAGTGAGCTATGGATACATAACCTCAGGACTAAGTTAGTCCTGGATGTCCCACTACCCCCTAACCCATGCGCAGCGTCCTTAACACTGGCTCCCAGGGCTCCATCTTTGTCTCATCCCCATTCATCTGTGCCAGTAGGTCTTCCCTGAGCGACTGCAAAGGCGTCCGAGTCAGCAAGAACCCCATAGCATGTACACCCCATCATAGATGACTTACCTTGCCTTGATCAAGCGTGTCCGCGCTGATACCGGCCTTGCGCTCCTTGTCGTAGTGGGCTTGGCATTCATCGCGCATGCGGGTGAACATGGTGTGACGTTGATGCGCATAAGCACAGTCTCCAGGAGGCGAGTCTGTGCGCGTAGCGGCAGCAAGCCAGAGTCTAGCCATATGGTCATAGCCACGGATAGTGGCACGGAAGTCTGCGCACACAATATTCACCGCTTCGTCGTAACGAAGCTTCTCTTGCCACGCACGAAACCACTGTGCGCGATCCACTGTGTGCGTGATAGCAATTAGTGTGGATGCAAGGGTATAGCCACGGTATACGTACACCAAGAGGACGGGTTATCCTCTGGATCTTTTGGCTGAGTTTCTGCTTGTTTGCCACCCTTCTTGCGCTTGCCCGCTGCGCTTGCAGGCGTTGATTCCATCGCATCCTCGAAGGCCCACCAAATCCACGAGCCCTCCCGCTGGCTGTCTGTCTTCTCTCGAGCCACTTTGAGGTTGACGATCGTAAGGTCTTTGTCAAGGTTGATCCGCTGCAGATGGTAGTCAGGATCGCATCTGCCGGGCGGGTGAGTGCGCAAGGCTACAAGCCGATCAAAGACATAGTTGTATCGCTTGGCCACGCGTTGGCAGTGGGCCCGCGAAAACTTGGAGATGTTGTTCGACCGCATGTTGTCCTTGGTGGTGTGACCCGTGTGTCGCTTGTCCTCGATGTATGCGGCGAGATGCTTCACAGCATGCCGGACATCATCGAGAAGGTCAAACGCCTGGCCAATGCGCAAGCGAAGCTCGTACTCCGCTAACACCTCGACCTCGAACTCCTTTCGCTCGGCGGCATTGAGGTCTGATGGTAGCCCAAGGATCTCGTTGGAGACAGTATTTTTGGCGGTGGTCGATGAGGATGGGACTTCGTCGATGTACTGATCGTCGTCGTCGTCGTCGTCATCTGATTGATCCCCACTTTGCGTGGCAAGGTTGGCGGCGAAGTCGGTTTCTTTGGACGAGGACGTCTGTGTCCAGAGGTGTGGCATGACCTTGTTCTGCTGCACCCGCCACAGGTCAACCTTCTTCCTCCATGCGGTCCAGGTCGTGCATGCCACAGCCTCGTCATCGACAATTTCACCCTTGGCGGCTTCCTTTGCCCGGAATGACATTGGAGTGGGTGCGTTGGCATCAAAAGGAATGTGTAGCCACGCCGCCACTGTGTTCGGTGTGGCCAGGGCTGTCAGACCAGCGAGGTGGCGTGTAGTGTGGTTCTGTCCGTGATACGCTTCTGCGACCTTGCCGGCCAGGAATTCCCCTGCAAACGGGATGCTCAGCATGCGCCAAAGCGAGAGATCGAGGCCGAACGTACCCATTTTCTCGACCTTGCGCCAGTTCCAGAAGCTGAATAGGTCGGTGAGTGCGTCGTGTCGCGCGCCAGCAGACATTTCACGTGTTGGCAGGCCAGCGATGTTGAACTCGGCCCAAGGCGTCTCGACTCCTTCGCTGTGGGACAAGCCGAATCCGGTGGAGTATGCCAAAGAGTAAACGATTTGGCAGAGATCTTTGTGGGCGTACATATGAAGCTTCGGCAGGAGCACCTGGAGGTTCTCGAGCATCGCAACCTTCTCGGGAAAGTACTCCCGGCAGCGGGTGAGGAGATTGTGTATGATGATGCATGCCACATCATACGTGAGCGCGCGCTCCTCGAGATCTTCCGTACCTTGTAATGCTCCTATGAGGGCGAATAAGGAGTGACCACTCCTGTTTAATGGGCGTGAGTAGGATCTCAGACCGGTGAGATGGTTGCACTTGCCGCTCTCCCGTCTGCATATCAACTACGCCGCCTGTGCGGAATAGGACATGCTTGCAGAACGTTCCGATGATCCCACTGACTGTCAGGAAGCGGAACTTCCCGGGTCGCAGGGATTTCAGAACTTGGAAACCACTACATGTTTGCAACTGTGCGAGTCGTGAGATCGTGGATACATACGTGACGCCTGGGTACTCACAGTGTCCTCGTGTTCGTAACTTTTCTCCAAGTACACAGACATCTTCTGGTGGCTAACAAAGTAGCCTTGGTCGACCGCAAGACTGACGTCATTCGGGTCTTCGCGCTTGGTCTTCTTGTGCAGGCTATGGTTTCCATCGCAGCCAATGAGGATGCGATATATGTACCTGTGCCGGTACTCAGTACGCACACCAACCGTAAGAAACATCACGCTCACTTCAGATGCGGCGGTGTCTCCTTCCAATCCTCGGGCAGGTTGAAGCCCGGCGAGGGACAGGTGAAACAGGGCACCGTTATGGCACCGGGTGGCACATTGGGGATGACCAGGTCGTGATGCCTACCGGAGCGCCTGATCATGGCGAAGTGGCGCCAGATGCGCGAGGCACTGAGGAGATCCTTGTACCTACTCTATCGCAATGATCAGCAGAGTGGCGGATGGCGTCGAGTGAATACTCACCTCGACACTGTCGGGGGCAGAATTGTTTGTCAGACGTTGCAGCACGCGGAAGAAGTCTTGCGCGCTCTTGTGCAATATATCCCAGTCAATGTGCCAGTGGCGAAGAAGATCGAGAGTGAACGCACTCTCGGGGCGCTCGAGACTGGAGGGCCAAATGCCGGCGCTGATGAGCTGATAGATATGCTCATCGTAACCGGCGCACTGGCAATACTGGACTTGGCAGCGGTGGACGCCGTTGGTGTGCACCACGACGAAGTACATCGGATGGGCGTTCTTGGAGGAGTTTTTGCATTGTGCGTCTCTGTGGGGGCCGAGGTGGATGATGTGTCCGAGTTCTGTGAGGTCTACGCGCTCGAAGTGCCGGCCGTTCCAGCGCTCGATCCAGTGGTAGTGGAGGTGCTCGTGGTCGCGAAGGATGCAGTTGATACACTGCGGTGGCTTCTGGCCACACTCTTGACATCGCGCAGTGGTGGGGCCCGAGCCACATGCGCACGGCCTACCGATGTTGCTGTCGTATTCGCGCGCAAGCAGTCTAGCGATGATGTTCTCCTGCCGCAGTAGCCACTGCTTCATCTGAAAAGAGGGGGAGTTCTAATGAAACACCGTGAGTAAGTAGATGCACTGAGATGTAGTATTACGCACCTTCTTCTGGGATGTGTCTTTGCCAGCCTTCGACCTGCCAGGCGGGTCGCCGGAAGGCGCATCAGGGCCTCCATCACCCGCGTCCGGTGGACTCTGGTCCTCGCTGAAGAATGTGCTCTCTTCCTCTATGTCTTGCGCCACAGTGTCTTCCGTCCGCGCGCGTTTGCGCGAAGGTTCGCCCGCGTTGTACTCGAGGCGCCGTTCGAGCAGTGTACGTCGCCCGAGCTTGTCCACGTCGGATATAGATACCTTGGCCACAGGAGCGCGATGATCATATCCGCGGGCGATCCCCGCGCCAAGCTTCTTGCCTTTCGGCCGTCGGAACATAATGAGGAGGGGTAGCTGGACGGAGGGGTGAGCAGGTTGAGGATAGCGTCGAGGAGGTACTTAGAAACACAGCGAACATAGTGGGAGGGTATGTACATGACAGCATGGACCCAAAGCCCTGTCGTGGCCCATGCAACATCAAGGCGAGTGGCTCAGTGATTGTCCAAAGTTCTTGTGGTGCGGGCGGCGCCGATAACCAGGCCAATGCGATTTCGATGTCCAAATAGTCATTCCTGACACTACAAGGTTACTATTCTGAGCAGTAATGTACAAGCATCCTCGAATACAGGTTCTTATTCGTTGGGGAAACGATGGGGAACGATGGGGGCATGACCGGAGTGTTCGAAAAAGGTGTTGACATAGAACGATGCCAGCTCCGCCTCACGCACGAGGATGTCCTTGGGCGAGATGTTCGAGCGGATCTCTGTGCCGGAGTGGATTGAATGTGGGGCGCACGGCCAGCGCGCGAGCACCTGCGAAAGGCTTCCAGAGATGACACCCGTAGGTGCGGCAGATCGGCCCATAACCCCGTAACCACTCCGATATCTTTATGCGGGGACGGCAGCGCGTGAAGGTTATACACCCCGCCGTCTGGGAAGATGCGGGCCAACAGCGCTTCTTGGTGCGCTTCAGTCGTCGCCGCAGTGCGAGCGGGGACAAGTAGTCGATCCAGGGCAAGGAGTTCGTGGCAGAAGCCCAACTCGCACACTTCCCAGATGATAGGACGACACACAGGAGTGACGAGGGCGTTGACGGTCTTGTCGAACCATTTGGGGGCACCAGTCGGCGAGGGGTCGAAGTCCACGCCATTGAAGGCCAACCCAAAAACATCCTCAATCTCGCGCCAACGCTGGGCTTTGCGACTAGCGTCGTCCATCTCGCCGTGGCCCGTGCTGCCGTACAAGATGTCCCGCCACCATTGAGTGGGCACTCGCGTGAGCCGAGCTTCACAGAGGCGGAGCAGATAGAGCCAAGCCGGACGCAGTCGCACCCAATTGATTACATAACGGTGCAGACGATCTTGAGTCTGCGGTCGCAGGAGTAGCCCAGGCTCCGGGATCCAGTATCCCCACATTGCCGTCTGGGGTTTGGTGGGGCCTGACAAGTCCACCGCCGCCATGGCATTTTGCCACGTGGTCAACGGGGCGGGCATCCATTCGTGCTGAACGGCAACGAACTTGTTAACGCCACGCACTTGGGTGGGATTGATCTTCGGGTCTGTTCGCGTGTTAGCATGAGCCTCGCACGATAAATGTGGTACTGACAAGGAACCGCAGAAGACCCGCCTCTATCTGTGCGGTTGGACTTCGGCGGTGTTCGGACGGCCCCGAGAGATTGCGAGTCTACGCCGCGCGCCTGGCGTTTGCGGTCCTTTTGAGACGTTGGTGCATCGTATCCGCCGTCCTGGTCGACCGCCAGCAGAGGAGCACGAGAGATGTCCAGATACGTGTGCCCGGCACGCGCCATTGCCGCGAAGTGCTTCGGACCGACGAGCCCACGATGCAGGCGATGTCCGTGCTCCTCGCCGATCGTGGTGCAGATGTCCGGCTCGCGCACCGTGACAACGGCGCGAACTCTGTCGTCCGCAAGGATAGAGACGTCTGTGCAAAGGTACCACACGGGCACACTGGCTGAGTAGAGGCGTTGAACGAGAGCGGGATTGGTAGTGAATGCGCCCATGACACCGAGATTGACGGTACGAGGGCGCGCACCGGCTGCGGGAACTTGGAGGCGTTGATAATCGAGGTAGGCGCGGATCATGAGGCTGTACCGCTGAGTCTCTCGTACTTGCATGACGACATCGCGGAATGTGCAGGGGAAGCGTCGCAGTCGGTCCCGGGCTTGACACATGGCGATGTCCAGCCACCCAAGGTGAGGGTCTGTCACCGGCGCCTTGCAAATGGTGGCATGCAGGTCGTCAACGACCTCGCCGAGCGGTCGGACTACTTCCTCACGCAGGAGGCCGAGACACTTGATTGTTGCCCCTTCCAGGCGCTCGAAATCGTCAGAGGAGGGAGTGAACGTGAGGGCATGATTATGTTCCCGCTGAGGGTCTGCACGCGGTATCATACAGAGATATTCCCAACCCTCAGTAAATAACTGGGGATGTTGAAGGGGATCGATGATCCTGTATCTACAATCCGCGCGAAGGACGACGTCGATGATGCCAACGGGTGGTTTTGGTATGTAGTCGGCATTCGGAGAGGTCACAACCCAAAGGTCGTCTGAGGTGGGTGCAGCGGCCAGAGCATCTGACCAAGTCCACGGCCCTGCATGACTGTGAGTGTGAAAGCACCCGTATACGTACCGCAATCAATACTGACCACTAGCTCCAGCCTGCGCCTGCAGCTTAGACATCGTAAGGGGGTGAACATTCGGAGTGCGCACGCGTGTAATAGGCAGGGAGGCCGAGAGGAATGCTCGGTGCCGAGCAAAATCCCGGGCCAAGGTGAGGATGGGCACCCGAGTGACAACAAGTCGCTCGGGTGTGCAAGTATACAGAGGTCGTAAGAGACAATCTGTATACTTGCGAAGGGAGAGAGGGGAGGGAGGGGAGGGAGGGGAGGGAGGAGAAGGAGAGGGGAGGCAGGAAGTGCGAGTCTTGGATGAAATTCGAGAGTCGGTCGAGGGCAGGGGGTTGTCGAAGTCTTGGAGGTTGCTGAGGAGGCCTGTATGCAGATGAGGGGTTCGTGAGCGAGGTAGCGGGGCTGACTGAAGGAGCGAGCGTTACCGCGAGGTTGCCTGAGGTCGAGAAGAACACCGAAGCAACTGCCAGTGCGACTGCGAGAAGGAGTCTGAGTGCAGACGCTGCGCTTCGGCGGAATAGAGTTAGAGTTTGCCAGCGCTCGTCAAACTCTAAGGGCGCCAAACTCTAACAGCGACTGGGTGCGACGCTGACTGCCACACGGCAGGCTCGTAGCTCTGGACTTCTCACTCTCTCGGGCTCACGACACGACCCTCACCAGCCTGTACCTCACATCCTCCCTCTCCTGCATCGAACATGCCCGATTCTCAACAGCGACAACCTGACGTGCACGCCGCCAACGACGCTCAAAACACAGAACCGCACATGACGCACCGGCGAGAGCCTGAAAACTCGGAGTGCTGCTAACCGTAGGATCGGGATAAGGACCTGTACACGGTACGACGGCAGTCTCCACTCCTCGCTAACATACCGTTACCCCCAGCTCGCCTGCTACTCGGTGGAACTTGGTGTTCACACCAGGGAGCTCGATTGACTCCTACGTCCTCGAGTTCCCGTTGGCTCCCGCACGCTACACTACGCCCAGTATATGCACGTGCTCCCCATGTCTTCACGCAAGTCTCGCACCCCGCACGACCGTACTGTCCATGCCCGTGTTCCGCTGCGTGGTCCCCTAGCACCAGTCTTTCTCATCTCGCTACCCAAGCACGTTCGCACGTCATGTATTTACACATCTCTCGCAACCCGAGCGACGGTACATTACATTTGATATTTGCGCTGCATGTGAGTGGACACATCCTCAGACACATTGAATTGAACTCAAAATCGCACGAAGTCCTCGATCAGGACCCAGATCAGCCGTGGCCCAGCAAGCCGTGGCGCGGAGCTTTGTCCCTCTGGTCCAAGCTCGCTCTATGCTATTATCCTGAGAGACTTTTAAGGCCGCTCCGCCCACGACCAGAGGTCGCATTTCACTACGCCTCCCACCGCACGCCTCCCATCGCACGACTCCCACCGCACGCCTCCCAACACACTTCACGCCGCCATGCCTTCCTCGCACAGGATGTCAGCCAGCGGCAGCGACCCCAACGTGAAGGCCCTGGTCAGAGCGCGACTTCCTACTCACACCGCCCTCAACGCCGCCTTGCGGATATGCCCTCGCGGGGCTGGCCACATGTATCAGCCCTCGTACGGGCTGAAGGACTTCTCCCAGACCGGGTTCATTTACGATGTTGTAAGTGCGCGCCCAGCGGACCCTATCAACCCACTCACGCTAACTTATCGCCAGTGCTTGTACAAGCCAGTGAAGGACGGCCCTCCTCGCTGTCCAGTCGTTCTATCGTCACTCCAGATGACCAAGGACAAGCGGATTGACCTCTTGAATGCCGTATCCGAGCTCCAGATTCCACCGTACAACAACGAGCGCTACGCAACTGACACTTTGCTTTCAAGCATGCGTCTGCGACGCGGAGAAGATGTGTGGCCTCCTCCTGGGCTCCAGGATCCCTTCACCCCGACTCATCGCCAGAGGAGCCGTGCCGAGCAGTCGAACACCCGATCTGGTGCCAGCGCGGCATCCTCTGCGAAGGTTGGCCGGCCGCCGAACGCGACCGTTGACGTGAACGTGTATGTATACACAGAGGTACGTCTACGACAAACCACTTCACCCTACTCCTGCTGACCACCGGAGTAGAACGGTTTGCCCCCACTGGAGCTAACGGTGACAGGCATCGATCGCGGCCCCCGTGTAGAGTTCACCGTTGGACAGCCTCAGCTGTACGAAATCCTAGGCGTGGACAAAGCCTCACGCCATAAGAAGGTCTTCCTGTTGTGGCTCACCGATGCCGAAGAGTGGTCAGAGTATCCGAAAGCTCACACTCCGATGTTCCTCCCTCGTGGCCAAGCGGTTCTATACAAGGCCCAAGAAGTATATGACATGCCTGGACTTCTGGAGTACCGAGAGCGATTCGCGCCCGTCGGCAGGGCGGTCGCTCGTCCAAGACATGATGCTCATGATGTCGAAGAACCCGCGCGCCTGCCCTCTCTCCTACAGCACGTGCACGACGCCCACATTCTGTCTTCCCCGCCGTCCCAAACACGCCACCGCGAGTCTCCCGCCCTTCCGCATGATCCCCCTGTCGACGTTCCGGACGCGTTCCTACCATCCTCTTCCCCGCGCTTGGTTGGAACTCCTTCACCGGGTGCTCGCCGCGTGACGTTCTTCCCGTCCCCAGTATCTTCTCCAGACCTGCCGGACGGGTTGGAGATAGTGCGTAGACACTGGGCAGCGAAGTACGTACGTGTCAAGGCGGACGCTCTCCCCGATGACCCCGTCAGCCTGGCAGGCCCGAGTTCCACAGCTCTGGGCAAGCGACGCGCGAGCTCGGGCGCCCCTGCACTACCTGCGAAAAGAATGCGGAATGTGAGTCGTGCGGAGGTGAGCGGCGAAGGGTCCAACACTCCTGCGACGGTGGCTACAACCGAAGTGGGCGCAGTCCCTTCACATGAGGCGGACGACATCATCGAGTTGTCAGATGACGACGAGCCGTGCCATGCTTCCCTCGTCTCCGGCTACGGGGACGACGTCGTCAACATCTCGGGTGGTGGGCGTTGCCGTGTCGAGACCATCGAGGGCAAGGAGTACATAGTCATATCGGACGACGAGTAGTGCTCGACTTTGAAATCGAATGTCACAAGAACTGCTTACCTTACATCACTACCCCACCATGTAACTTTAAAGTGATCGAAGATCACGATCGCGATTAGAAGACAAGGCCGATGGGAACGGAGATCGGTCGCGCGCCTTCGTCCGATGTGCTCGGGCACGCCAAGTGCGGGGTCGCGGTCCCGTGACAGCGCATTGTCCGCTGCAACTTCAAGTGGTGCGGCACATTCAGTGCTGCGGTAGATGTGGCCGCCGCGCATGGACCTGTCGTAGGAAGGACCACGCGTCAATTGAACCGCGTCGGTTCCAAAGTCAACAATGGACTCACGTGGACTTCCTTTTACAACCGCGTCGGACGCGTGGCCCCGTGAAGTCCAATTCTGCCGCATACTTTGGTGCACTTCATTCACTTCTCCCAGTATGCCACCCTCCTCACATCTTACCGCACTACAGCTACCATGGCGAAGACTCCCCACCGTAACATCGTCTATTCCTCTGACTTGGAAGATAACCCGCCGCCGCCCGCACCGAAGTCCAAGAACAATAAGTCCCAGGCCCGTCCGCCATCCGACGATGAGGACGATGACAAGGATGTCGAGGTTGCTCCGTCCAAAGGCAAGCAACGTGCACGTGCGACCGAAGAAGTCACCACCCACGGAGCGGCACGCGCGCGCACTAAACCTCAGCGTGCAGCCACACCATCAGGCGACGAGCAGGAGGATGCCAACGAGCCACCGCCCGCGCATAAGACCTTCAAGAACAAGAATAAGGCGCGCGCTATCTCCGGTAATGACGATGACAAGTCTCAGCCCACCGCCAAGTCACTCACCAAGGGCAAACAACGCGCGCGCGCGCGATCCGACGACGAGGACGAAGACGCCGACGCCGAGGCATCACACACTACCAAGTCGACAGCCAAGGGCAAGAAACGCATACGCTCCCCCTCTGACGATGACGATGATGAGCCACCGCCGATGAGCGAGGCCTCCCAGAGCACTCACCACCGGCCGAAGGACGGCCGCGTCAAAGTCAAACGTCCTCACAAGCCGCACGCAAAGCGCCTCGACCTCCCCAACACCGGCGCAGCTATGCGCAAGCTTGGCGGTCGTTTTGAGTGGCGGAACACGGAGAATCGCCAAGCGGTGGAGTGGCTCACAAAGTTCCTGGACGAGATCGACAGCATCGACGATACAAAGATGCGACACACTCGCGAAAGGCAGATCGCCGCGCAGTGCCTCGAGGAGTTCTCATTTGCAGGCGAGACCGATGGAGACATGGAAACGGTAGATGAGGCTATCCCTTTGTCAAGCGACTCTAACTGATCAGCGATTGTAGCGCATCCATACCTTCTTCAAGAATCGTCTTCAGCAGCGTCACAAGGCTGCAAGAGAGGGCCAGCAACCCGAAACGCCCACAAATGAAACAGGCGTGAATGTCAAGCACGAGGAGACTGGCGTATCCAGCAAGATGGATCTTGCACCTCTCCTCAAGAGCCTGAAGGCGCGTGCACCTTCAGCGTCCAATCTTTGGGCGGCGGAGCATAAGGACCTCATTGAACGACGCCGCAAGGAGCTCGGGGGCAGCATCGGCGCGCGCCAGCAAGCAAAGGCGGAGCTGTTCCGCGCTCTCACCATGCAGGAACAAGCGCAATGGGCCGCCAAGGCTCAAGAGGCCAAAGACCAATGCCTCTCTAATCCTGACGCATACCTCGAGTACGTCTTTCCCTCCATTGTCCCCTTCAGTTCTAGGATTGACCTACTTCCAGGAATCAAGAAGGTTTTCCCAATCTCCTGGCGGAACATCTGCGTCGCTTCGTCGGTTTCGAGCCGAACCAAATCGGGGCTGCGGTGATGCATCTCAGGCTGGCTTACCGCAATGCGGCTGGCATCATCGAACGCGACCAGTACGTTTACCGGCACTTAAACTTGGTCAGATGCTGACGTCTACAGGTTTACGATACGCTTAGACGACGACATCACGCCCTTCAGCGACTTTGAGGGTGGTCCATCCGAAAGTGAAGTGGACAGGTGGACACGATATGTCGATATTGCACTACGTACGTTTCCTGCCTTCCTACAGCTAAACTGCCGCTAATCCCTGTATGACAGCACCAAACCCTAGCCGTCAAGACCCTCGGCTAGAGTACGACTCGAGTGGCCGGCCGCTTCTCCCGGAGTACGACGCCGCATGGAATATGGTGCAAGCTGCGGAAGTACTCGACGCGTGGTTCCGCGCCGTTTGGTGTGAGTGTATGACCGCTCAACTATCGATCGACTCACCTAATGTCCTGTAGCATATGTCAATCCTGATGGAGACGGGTCTTCACTGAACTGGGGCGCGCTACGCACGGTCTACATTCCGTCCATCTGGCGCGACGCGGGGATCAAAGAGCCGTCCTCCGTCCCCCTCCACTTACTCCCGGTGTTGTACGTGCGGCTTTACGAAGCGCAGGACATGTCCGAGGCCTTCAAGTGGCAGAAGCCGGCTGACGAGACAGTCGGCGCTCCACGCCAAGCCTCACGCGCCCCGACTGAAGCACTCACCACACCATGTAGGACGATGAAGACGGTCTTTGTATCGCCCTCCAAACGTACGCCTACCACGTCACGACTGGTGACACCTTTCTCGCCTGCCGAAGGGAGTACTCTCATGTGGCCTACGACATCGTCTACGCGACACTCGCGGGCACCTTCTGTTGCGCAAAGCACTGCACCCAGCCCCAACCACCAGCAGTCGAGGCCCCGGCCAGCCAGCCAATCTCAGACGACTGCGTCCCTCATGGAACGGCGTTTGGAAACCATCGCGGAAGCCGCAGAGGCGGGTGCGGCTAGTGGAGGACCGGGCTGGGTCGCCCTCCGTCTCTCTGCTGGGACGGATCGTAGTGCGGGAAGCTCTGTAGAGGGAACCGTTGAAGCCCTCATCGACGAACTCGAAGACGACGTTGAGGCAGCCGCAAGCCAAGGCGCGGCGGTTGAGGAGGGTGTCACAGTATCCGCAAGCCAGGGTGCGGCGGTTGAGGAGGATGTCACGCCATCCAGAAGCTACGGTCCGGCGGTAGTAGATGTGCCTCGGCAGGCCAATCATCAATGTTCCGAGTCTACTTCTCCCCCGCCTCCGAGATCCTCTCCTGCCTCGCCACCGAGGCCCGCCCTTCGCCGACTGTCAAGAGCACGACCTACCAGCCAGCCAGACAACAACACCGCCCTAAGCGATGGCCGTCCCACGCCAGACTCGTCCCGCAGGACCGTGGCGCGCGCTGCGAGGGTAGCGCCCGAGGACGAGGAGGCCTGTGACGAACCGCCGATGCCCACTCGCAGACAGTCGTTGAGGACTCACTCAGCCAGTGTCCCCGACGACAACGCAGAGAGTGGGGAAGACAGCCCGTCGGCGCCCGCATCGCCCCCGAAGGACGCATCCGAGGACGATGAGCCGGTGGCCAGCTCCTCTCCGCCGGCAGCCTCTTCTTCGCGCAACCAGTCATCCAAGGAGCAGCACACGAAACGCCGGCGCGCAAGCGCAGTCGATGAAGGCCCTTCTGCGAAACGGTAACGCTCTGCAGTGGTGCTTTGTAGTGCTATGACTGACAGTATTCTACAGTACGAGGAATCAACCTCCTCCCGAGGTAACGCCGCGCGAGACGCGTGGTGCACGCGCTGCAAGAGAGGCTGCGAGCAAGCCTACAACCCGAAAGCGCGCAGAGGGAAAGGCACCGGCACCGCGGAGGAAGGGTCGTAAGTGAGCATGACTGAACTGTGTACAAATGAATGTAGGATTATGCTGTTGCGTGTCTCGATGGCCCGGTGGTGTATTGGCTGATACGTAGGATTATCTTGCCCTGGATGTTCTGTCCCAGTAAATACTGTAGGATTATCTTAGTTGAACTGTACTAATCGACAAACTTGTGCTCTCTTGGCTGGAATGAGCCCCGTATGACACTCGCTCATCCGGATATAATTGTGATGAACCCAGATTAATTCTGACTGTGCTCAGAACACCCAGCCTTTGCATAATAGGATGAATGTCATTAATGGGCGGTTTAAGTGAGGATTTACATGAGTAGATGGCTATTTATTAAACCAACTAAAAACGACTTCACGTCTGTGGCAGCGGGGCTTCACGCGCGGATACGCGCAGAGACGCGGGTCGGCGCGGGGGCGGGTGGCGGAGGTGCAGCTTGCACGAGAGTGGCGGCAGGGGCAGTGAGCAGGGGATCCACTGGAGCAACAACCGCGGTGGCGACAGGTGCGGTAATCGAGCCGAGGACCGACGAAGGAGCCGTCGCGCGTTCCCAAGCCTTAATGAACTGTTGGTGGATCCACGGATAGTCGGGGGCGTGCTCGGTGGGCGGGTCACCCATTCCCGCTGCGAAGTCCGTGAAGTGGCAGTAGAGGGTGTCCGCGAGGTGGCGGACAGTGGCGGGGTGCTCGGTCAGGCGCACGAGCTCATCCTGGAACACGCGTTAGCAGCTGCGCCACGGTTGGGAAGGGGCACAGTACTCACCAGCCGCGCGAGGGCTTCGCGCGCCCTGGCCTCAACCTCCTCATTGGTAGCCTCCGACGAGATAGCAGTTTCGCACTCTACCTCAACCGCGGAGCGAAGTTGCTCCCGGCGTTGGTCATTTGACAACGTAGGCGGGAGGGAAGCAGATGACATGGTGGGAGAGGCTGGTCAGAGGGGCAGTGGGAGACGAAGAGAACGGTGGGCAGGAGAGAGAGAGAGGGAGAGGCGGCTCCTCGTAGCAGGCCACCCCGGAGTCCCAAGCACCCAAGAAGAAGCGCGATCAAAGGCGGGCGCAGGGTCGCGGAAGCAAACGACGGGTCGTGTACCGACCAGCTGGTTTCACGAAGCTTTGAAGCGACGGCCGGAAGCTGCCGAGGCCTTCCCTCCCCCCGGTCGGATCACCACCCAGAGATGGGGCAGGGGACACGTGTTATGGCTATGAGTGTGCTGCGATGTTTCCGTTCGTGAAAGGACGAGCAGGCGACGGCAATCTGACAACGCGAGTTCGGCGCGGTGGAGCGAGGCCACCAGCCGAGGCACCAAGATGGTGCAGTCGCGCAAAAAAAAAAACGGCGTGTCAGGGCGACGGAGGACGTCTCTCCTACCCTGTAGTCTCCGGGTCTTCCGCACCGAGGCGCCGTGGACGGTCCATGACATACCCAAAGGTGGCGGAGGGCGAGACCGGTACCTCGCACACGTTTCGGAGACCGCGAGAAGTCGCCAGTCCCGCACGAGGTCTCCGGCAGGAGCTCCTTCCGGATCTGCAGAGGGCACACAGCCACCGCCGCCGATCCTGCTTGGGCCTGCCGCTGCGGAAGAACACTCGCGGATTCTATAGGACGCGGCATGGATGGCACCTGTCAATTACACGGAGGGCTCGTCTGTATACGGCCTTATCCCCGGTACCACGTCCCCTACACTCTCCCTTCCTGCGGTCCGACATCCCCGTCGGTGGCAGAAAAGCGCAGAAGTGCGGAAGCTACAGGGGGACATTGTCTAGGTACGACCCTACGGGAAGGCTATCGAGTACACGTTCGCCGGAGGGCGGCGTTGACAAACCGGGGAGGCCGATGAACTCCTTGATACTGGCCTGCGCGGCGCGGGCCTCCTCGATAGCCTCCTGGCTTGCGGTGTGGATGTCCCGGAGTTCGCGGGCGCGGGTGAGAAGTGACTCCGCGGTTTGTAGCAGTGGTGTCACTCAGAAGATGCGGGAAGCTTGGGTGAGGGTACTTAGGAGGTCTACAAGGCGGCCACGACAGGCCTCGAGGCGAAGACGATTGATCTGGAGCTCGTGTTCCTCCGCGAACAGGAGGTTGTTGAGGATGAAGCCTCGATAGCGCAGTTGGAGGTCCACAATGACCAACTGGGCGCCGAAGGCATCATCGCCGCGGTTGCGGAAGACATCGAGTTTGGAGGAGTCTGGGGCTATTGCATGGGCACGGATCTGTGGGAAGCAGTCAGCGGTGGCAGACGCGGGCAGCACTAGGAGGGGGACGCGCACCCACGAGGCCTGAAAGCGAGTTAGGGCCTCCTCCCACCGCGCAGGCTCTTTGCAATCGGTATTGCGCAGGAACTCGAGTGCGAGCACCGCCGCTAGGACTTCGTGGATCGCGATCGCTTCCACGCGATAGCATAAACCAAGGGTTTTGCGCTCCAGGGAGGACAAGGCGAGGAAGGGCATGTCCCGCTGTTGAAGGGTTGCGGATGTTGGGATCAGCTGGATGCCGTCTGTCGCTCTCTTATAGTCCCCCCACTCCCCCACATGAGTGCGTAAGGATCAGCAATTAAGGCTGAGTGCGGCTCCGGCTCATTTCGCAGGTAGATCCGTCAAAACCCGGGCCCGCACCTGTGGGTCCGGCTCTCCCGGGTCTAGGTTACCCGTGCCGCCGGATTGTCGCAGCTCCAGGTGCCGTGCTATGATCTGCGACTATCCGTGGCACCATCCGGCGTGGATCAGGCACCCTTGTAGGACAACAGAGACGTGCAGATACATTGAGAAACAAATAATATAGAAGCAAACAGGAGATCAAGATACTGGAGTAGAACTGTGGACGAGTTACATGTCTGATAAAGGTAGCCGGTTGAACGGACTAGATCGCGGTGAGTTGAATCCCCGTAGGTACTAAGTAGCAAGTAAGTTGTGCAGTGCTACATTGAACATGAATGCATGATGCTGAGAGTCCGTGTCCTTACCCACTCGCTAGAACCCGTCCCGGTCCGAGTCTTCCGCATCACCGCAAGAGGAGCAGTCAACCGTCTCAAGAGACGGCATGTCAGAACCAGCCCCATCAGACTCAGCATCAGAGTCAGCGCCGCCAGCCCCGGGACCACGACGTGCCTGCTTTGGCGTCTTCGGAGCACTGGGGATGTTAGCGAGGTTGGATGCAGTGAGCGGTGTGGCTTTGGTGGCATCGGAAGCGGCGGCGAAAGCGGCGGGGTCCACAGCCGTGTGTATGTCATCGATGCCCGCGTGCTCGTGCTTGATGATTGTAAGGCGCTGCAGCTCATTGGCAAGGCCTTGTCCGGCACGCGCCAGGGTCTGTGCTACGGGCGGACGAAAGCATCAAGAGGGCTCAAGGGGGCTCTGCGTGGGGAGACCGGAGAGATCCAGGTCATTGGTGTCGAATACGGACTGCCAGTGTCTCGTGTAAGCGACGTGATGTTGACAAAAGCATAATTGACATACCTTGGGGAAGTTCACATGCAACCACCCGACAAACTCGGCGAGCTCGTTGTCAGCACGTTCAAATGGGTGCAGTTCCGACACAGTCTTGATCAGGCGATCAGCAAACAGGTCGAACTCGGCCTCACCAAGGCCGTGTCGACCGAGCGCAAATGCGCAGTACATCAATACAATGTCGAGCAGCAGCTCGAATTGCGCCTGCGACCCCTCGCACTGCGACGTGAGCGGACCGTGGACGATCTCGATCCACCGGTAGACACGATCCTTCGTGACGCTGCTCAGATCGTCCGTCGTGAGCATTATCTGGCGGTTGTAGTCAGCATAAATACCGCAAATGCAGCGGTATACTTACCGTTAGAGCATACGTGACCCCGTAGATGAGCAGGGCGACGGCGGGCATGACTTCATCGTTCCGCAGGCGAACGTATGACGTGTCGGGGCGGAGGTATATGTCGGCACAATCCATGGTCGTCGTAGGGGCAGGGGTAAGGCGGGTGGGGTGTCGAGGTTGCCGGTGCAGTGGGAGTCGTTGAACGGCGAGTCCTTGTCGGGGGATGTGTTGTGCTTCTTGTCCGAGCGAGCTGGCCAGTTTATATACCAGCAGGGAGACAAAATATCGACCCGGGTGAGCCGGAGCCTTGCTGGAGGACGTTGCAGAGCAAGCTTGCTGACTCTCGGGGGAGGTACTGCATGCGCGCGTGTTGGAGTCGTTTGACCCTGATGCCAATGAGCCCCGCACGCCTGTGCAATGTGTTGGCCTCCGAGATAGCACATGATCCGCAGCAGAATGATACGTACCTAGTAGAAGTTTCGTTTGCACGTCGGCCGCCGTTTTCTGTGGTGTAGCGCGAGTGAGGATGACATGCGTAAAGCACAAAGATCAGGCATGCATCATGGGCGCCTAGATCATAGCGTCAGGAACCTGTGGTGTTGACTAGGATGGGGACGCACCACAAGATGCTCTCCCATGCCCGAGCGCGTGAACGAGGCTTGGACGAGTGGAGAGCAGGCATAGTGGACGGTGCAAAGAAGGCAATGGTCTGTGCATGGCGCGCGCTCGCCGGTGCCCTTCTCCATGGGGAAAGGCCTGTCACTACAGCCGCTGTGGTTTAGCTACTACCCTCGCTCTCACCCCAGCTCTTCCTCCTGCCACGTCGAACCCGTTATCAAGACCTTCCCGACACTCAACACCCTCTGTGGCTTGTTTGGTGAGGATTTCGGCCCGCTATCAGCCTCGCAATGCACTTGGCACTTACTCAGGATTGCCTTCAGCTGCCTCCACCGAACACCATATGACAAGAGTGCACGCATGCACCACAAACACACTGAGCAGATAGGGCCCCGTGAACAGTGAGGTCTCACTTGCATGCATTTCTTGCGAGGCTCGTTACTGATGAGACCCTCAGGGTGACTTGTTCAACGCGTGCGCAGGGGAGGCACGAGTTGCTTCCCCTCGTCGTTATCGAACACGATTCAGGGCACCGGTCTTGGCGCAACGGCTCTGGCTCGACGTGCCCGGCTTCAGGATGGCCGATGTCCGAAATGCGGCAGCTCACTGGACGTCCATGGACAGACGTTAAAAGCTGAGCAAAAGAAGGTCAGTCTCTAGTCTCCCTCCTGCACTGTCCATGCTCACCGCGCCGTCGTTCCTAGCACTCGACATGTCGCAGAGCCAGTCGGGGAAACGCCGTTGCGAGACGGTCTCCTCTGGCGTGGACCACTCCTCGTTACCCAACTCTGTGCCGCCCTTGTCATCGCCTGCATCTACCGCCGCCACTGCTCCGTCCCGCGCCAGAGACCGTCCACGCATTTCAGACGTCGCCAGCCCCCCAAGAAGAAGCACCGGGATGCCAACGTCTCTAATGTCGAGCCCGACATGAGCGGCGGCGAAGATGCAACTGACGGCGGTATACAGGCTGTCGCCTCGGTCGCACGACGCGCTTGTCGCACTCGCATTCTGTCCGCCGAGGAGAAGCGTCAGCGCTTCAAGGAGAAGTACAAGGGTATGACTCCGGAGCAGATACTCGGTCAGTACCCGTCCGTTCCTGTCGCCCGAAGCATCTGCTAACACATCCGTCCTCGCAGCGACTGTGTCTGAGGGGTGGCGATCAAGTGTCTACCAGCACTACCGCGCCCCGCAGATCATTCCTGGCCCAAACGGCACATCAATCTATCGATTCATCTGCAAGAAGTACGTCGTTATTTGGCGACATTTAACATCAATTTACTGATTTACTATACTAGGTACCCTTCAAAGCACGTCGACCGTGCCGACTCGGAGGATTCGACCGGGAATCTTCGCAAACACGCCGACTGTTGTGATCCCAATGAGACCCCCGAATCGGATCTGCTCTCTATCTATGCTCTAAGGCTGAACATGGATCTACCTGTGGATTATCCGGACTCGAACCTACGGGTAATTCACAATTGACAAGACCAACCCAGACCTGGACGGATCTCACCCGCAGAACGACCCGAACCCGCAGACCCGAACCCGAAACCCACAGGTAGAGCTGCGGATAACCCGGAGCTGGACTTAGCAGAAAATGTACACCACTTATCAGACAAAACTTCTCAAAAGTTACGACAAAATAGCGTGAATGACACCTCATCCACAACTAAGATAAGCAGAACAGCAAGGATATATTAAATCTTCTAGGACAGTAAGAGCTAGCACAAAAACAACGAGAGGGAACACATTAATGAAGAGGACAGGAGGGCGCATGTGGCATGGTATACAAGGAGACTACATTAGTCCAGTTCAATGACGTCGGCAGCGCCAGCCTTGGCGCCATTTGCGGCAGGCTGAGCGACATCCGCAGCACGCTTCTTACCGGCGCTGCGCTCACGGATGACCTCGATGAGGTCGGCCTCTGGCAGGAGGTCTGCGATCCGTGCCCACGAGCCCAGGACAGTGTTCGCACGGACGGACTCATCCGCAAGTGAATGGCGGAGGCGGGACACCGTGAGGCGGCCGCGTGAGAACGCCCGCTCGGCATCTGTCGAGGTGGCTGGAAGAATGGAAACGTGTCAGTACTGTGCTGCGGGAATACAGCCAGTGTGCCAACGTACCGGGAGCGGACAAGAAGTCAATCGCCATCTGAGCGAGGGCATGCTGGCCGCTGGACTCAGACGTCGATTTGAGGACCAGATCCCAGTACTTGAGGGGATCGGTAACGGTCTCGGATGGGGGCTCCTCCAGGTAGGTCTTCAGGGCGTCAGTGCACTGCGCAGCCTTCGCAGCGCCACCGATAGCGGCAAAATGCTTCCGGGTGTTCTACATAGTAAATGAGTTAGGACGGCGTGTAAGTATCAGCGGTGTGCAGTAGACGTACCGCAGACGCCGCAGCACTACATCTACCGGGGCCAGATAGAGACACCGGTGCAGGCGCGGCGGGGATCTCGGCGGCGGCGGGAGCTTCCTTGGGCTTGTAGTTGCTCGCCCATTCTTCCTCGATGATCGCCCGGGCCTCCGCTATCCACTCGTCAGGCCATGACTGGTCCTTGAAGTATTGGGTCTTGTACCGGGGGTGGAGCACTACAGGGATTGATGAGCATGCAGTAATACGAATGATCTATGATCACTTACTCATCGCGATGCGGTACACGATGGTAGTGTCCGTCAGCGTGTAGTACTTGTCGAGGATCGCGCGGCCGCGTTTGGCCGCACCGCGCACGGCCGGGTGCAGAGTCTCGTCGGCGATGAACTCGTCGACGTGTTCCGTCAGAATGTCCATGAACGGAATCACCTCGTGCACGAGGCCACGGCTGCTGTGCGAGATTTCGTTCGTCGAGTACACAAACGGCTTCGAATATGAAGGTTTGGTCAGCATCGCAGTTCGCACTGAAGGACCGGAGTACTCACATCAAGCAGACGGTGGAGCTGGTCGAGGAGAGTCCAGTCGTCCTCGGTGAGAATGAAACGCCACAGGCGCACACCGCGGGGCTTGTTGAATTGCGCCATATCACAGAGGTCAGAGACCACCTCTTGAAGCTCTAGGGCCCTCTCAATCACGGCAGCGACCATATTCCAGCGCGTCGCCACGGAGCGCACAAGAACCTCGCTGTGGATGTCCGGCGTGTCGTGTGTAAGTGTCGCGAGCGCGGCGCGCACTGCGGGGCTATTCCAAACTTTCTTCGAAAGCTTGGTTACCTGTAACAATGATTAGTGCGACGCCGCAATACAGAGAATATGTGACTTGCCTTCTCGACGGCGAGGCGCCCCTCTTTGATGTCCTGAGGGGTTAACGCGAGGTCGACATTGTTGTTGGCCATTTCTTCGAGCACAGCATCATCAGCGTCCTCGCGTGCTTGATCTGCCTCTTGCTCGGCTTCGAGGTCATTCTCGTCAACGTCCTCCGGGTCGTCGAGAGCGGCAAGGTCCACATCATCATTGCCGTCGGCTTGGACACCGGCGTCGCCCTTTGTTTTGGGCTTGCGCATAAACATCGACATGATCGCCTGCACGGAAGATCATCAGTATCAATCTTCGGCGCAAAGAGAGCTGATTACCTTCACGACGAGGTTGAGGACATGTCCAAAACACTGGACCCGGGTCTTCGGCCCCCGCAGCTCCTTCACCAAGCTATGCATCTCCTTCAGCATCGTAGTATTGTTGTCGGCGTTGTCGACGGTGACGGCAAGGACCTGGCGCAGGACGGTGTCAATACCTTTACGAGATACAACAAACATAGCCGGGGAGGCGGACGTACCTTCTTCTGAATCCCATACTCCGTGAGGCACTCGACAAGCTTCTCGTCGAGATACTTCCCCGTGTGGCCGTTGGTCAGCCTATCAAAGTAGATCAAGTCAACTTGGGGTGCGGGGCTGGGTATCGAGCTTGCTCACCGGATGAATTCGAGAATGATGTGCTCGATCGCCCCATCGCGGTGCCAGTGCGCGGTGACACCCAAGAAAGATATGACATTCGGCGATGTCCAACCGTCGACGCAGATGTGAATCTTGCCGGGCAAACTCTGGAAGAAGCGTATCGGTCAGCACAAGATCAAGCAAGTGATGTGCGACTACTCACTGAAAGAAACGCGATGACGCGGATCTTGCCATCGAGCGTGATTAGCTGGACGTTGCGCGATATGGTGATGCGCGACGGGAGGTCGACCTTCGCGTAAAGCATACACATGAGCTCTTGAAACTCTGGGTCTTCCACGATGGTGAATGGGCGATGCCGGCGCGCGCACCACATAACGAGCAGGTACCGCACACGCGCCGGGCTGTACGCGGTGCCGCGAGCGTACGCGGTGATCATCTCGACTTCGGGCGTGTTGTCCGGCTCGCAGAGGGTGCGGTGGCGGGTCAGATTGCCTGTCGACTCTTCGTAGTCGACGCGGTCGATGCGCTTGGACGGGTTCCTAGATATGTAAGTTAGAAGGATGAATATAACATGGTTGAGGCGACATACTTTTTGCACACAAAGCGATGTATGATGATGCCGTGTGGACCGTGTACGATCTTGGGCTCTTCGAAGTGCTTGTAGACGTCAGAGCGCCATTTCTTCTTGAGCTGGGCTAGTGCAGTGTCAGCCCGTAGTGAAGTCGACAACAAAAACAAATTGCTCACCGAGAATCTGCTCTGGGGTCATACCAGGCCGCTTCGCAAGGAAGACGGCTCGCTTTGCGGACGGCTTTGTGACGGCCTTGTCCTGGCTCGCAGCATGCACACGCTCAGCGACAGCAGCGACTGGCCCATCTGCGTCAGCTCCAGCTGCGCCGTCTGCACCTGACGCGTCGGCGGCCGAGGAGGACTGCGCTGAGGATACGGATGCGGAAGACGCGGCACCTGCAAGGTTTCCCTTGCGGCGCTTGCCAGCGGACTGGGACTGCGAGTGAGCGGGCCCGGCCGGCACGGCCTCGCTTGCGTCTTCTGTGACGGTGGACGCGGTGCTATCACGGCGGCGCTTTTGGCTATGGTTGGCGGACATGGCTGTAGGTGAGCGAGAAGGCGTGGATGAGAAGTGAGACGGCGATGGAATGGGGAGGCAAGTACTTACTTTTCAAGGTTGAGGCCGACTCGCCTTTATAGCGTCCTGGCGTGCCTCTTGAGTCTCTAAGTCCTCACAAGGCGACTGGGACTTCACCATTTGGTTGCCCGACCCGTCAGCGTGCCATCGCACGGTCGTCTTGTGGAGCTCCAAATATGCCCGCCGTTGCTAAGTGAAATGCGTTGGGGTGTGCCTTCAACGCATTCGGCCGACAGGTCGTCCATATGGCCTGCTTACAAGAATGGTTAGTGGCCACCACTGACTTCCGACTGGAGGAGCACAACTTACCTCGAGGCCGCAGGCCGGTCAGCGCATCGCTTGGCGGGTCGAACCCGTGGATGTGGAAGAGATCGAGTTGCGAGGGGCAATGTGAAGAGCAGGACGAAACAAAAGCAGTATATTTGAAGCGCACCGAGTGGAAGGTTTGTCGATCGGCGGTGCATGTGGTGAGACGACGGAGGAGAGATACGTGGCCGCCTCGTACGAGCAGGAGTCAGCCTGGCGTCTGCACGCCAAGTTGGTAGGTTCAATGCCCAAACCTGGCCTCCTATGCGCCCACAAACCGCATTCGGCAAGCGCGTGCACATGGCCTCGCTCACACCTCTCTCTGCAACCGCATCCCTCACATACTGCTCTGTCTACCGTCGTACTCGCACCCTGCGCCCACCCTGTGCCCGCAATATTCTTGATAGCTTCACCCTTGCGTACCTCAAACTCGCCCAATTTCCATCTACAACCTGCGACACAGATCGAAATCTCGTAGCGCTCATACCAACGATCTGGAATGCGACGACGACGAGCAGCATGGTTCCTCTCCGGTACGTTCAAATGATCGACCATGTTCAGCACCCGAACTGTTTCCTGCTTGACCCGAACGGCAGATTTGGCGACTCGGATGCACGGGTCCCGGGAGTAGCGACAGAGAGGCACATTGCGCAAGTGGATGTCACACAAGACTCGCATCGGCCGAAGGCACCTTACCAGTCAACTTGTGGGGTCAAGCGGCAGTCCAGTCGCTGGGTCAGGCGGTCAAGACGAGCTCGCGCGCGCGGTATAAGAACTCTCGCGACATTGAAGGTAAGCTATCACAGCGCCCCCTCCTTTTCCGCGTCGACCACCACTCGTATCCACACCATGGCATACACAGAAGCTCGTATCACCCTCGAAGTGGATGTCTGGACGAGTTCAGACCAGGCGAAGTGCGAGTATGGCCTGATGCTGACGGTCTACGGCTATGAAAGCAGCGAGGCACCCTTTTCTGTGAGTCATTCCTTGATCGCGCACCCGCCCAGTCCACTAACGTGCAGGCTGCCGCTCAGTTCAACCTCCCGATGTTCGACTTCGGCTACATCGTCGTGCGACTGTGCGACCAGTGGCTGAAGCTCGTGCGTGAGACTCTGCTTGCCAAGGACCTCGTCAGCGAGGAGCAAGCTGGCCTGCTCCTCGACCTCTTTCTGTCCTACCGTGCCATCGCCGCGCGTGTGCCCGGCGTCGACGACGACCTCCTTCCGGAGCTCCTCCATGAGCTCATCCTCGGAGCTATCCCCATGACTCGTGGAGATAGTGCAGACGAAGTGCTCGCCGCCGCAGTGCTGCGTATGCACGATCTCCTGCCCGCGGTATGTTCATCTACTTGTCATATGTCGGTAGGTTTGAGGAAGTGGCCTCTGGGAGAAAATCCCGCGAGGCGCTCAATCTCAAGCCATGCAGCAACGCAGCCTTCCCATTGCACACCCCAACCTCCGTCGCCAAGCAGATACTGCACAACCCTGCGAGAGTTGTCAGGGCAGTCGAGTAGCTGAAGCAGAGGCAGGGGAGCAGCTGTCAAGGGGGAGGTGGCAGCGAGGGCGGCCGTCAAGGCAGAGGTGGAGGCAGCGGACGAGGACAAGCCGGCAAGGGCCATCGTTGAGGCGGCGAGGGCAGTTGTCGAGGCAGCGAGGGCAGTCGTTGAGGCAGAAATGGTGGAGGCGGCGGACGAGGTAGGGATGGCCAATGAACTGGGGATGGCCAAAGAGGCAAGGGTGACCGACGAGGTGCAGGAGGCCTATGACAGAGGAACGGCAGACGAGGCGGGGGTGACCATCACAGCAGATGCTTCAACGGGCTTGACAGCTGTGCCACGCAGTGGGATAGATGTAGGAGAAGCCTGCGGTGAAGAATCGGGCGTGGGGGTGGGCTCCAACAGATGCGAGGTGCCAGGATTGGCAGGAGCATTCTTGCTCGTGCTCGTATTGTCGGACAGGGTTGCACTTCGCGACGGACCGGGGTCTGCAGTGTTAGCTTGGAACGGGTTGGGACTGGTTGAAGATGGCAGCGGCACGTCCGTAGACGAGAACATGGCCCGAAGGGGACTTGGCGTCGGAGTGGCCCCAGGAGTCAGTGCTCGTGCGGCGACAGCACGAGCCGCAGCATGAAAAAGAGGCAACAGCTTATGGCGAGGTGTTCTAGTGCTAGCGGGGGCAGGGGTAGAAGCAGGAGCTGGAGAGGGGTTACCGGTTGGAGCGGGGGTGCCGCTGCGACTGGAAGCAGCTGAGAGCGCGGGAGGGGTGCCGTTGTCTTTTCCGCTTGAAGAGTCGGCGCCGCCTGGAGAGGCCAAGGAAGTGCTGGGCAGCGCACGGGCCCAACAAATGTCCTCTGCTGCAAGCAACGGGTAAGCCCAAGCATTGTACGAGTAAATGCACACGTACGAAAACAGGCATGTGCAAATCGTATCATCGACTTTGACATCGCGGTGTAGCCAGCCTGGTCGTAATTAGGCCATAACCTGGATTATAGTTCTGTGGACTTGCCTGAGTGTATGCTGTGTGGTGTCAGGGCAGAATGGCATAGATCAGAGTGCAATAGCTTACCCGTGAAGCTCTATGGCACCACCGTTGCGCCCGACAGGACTAGTGAGTAGGATTGAGATGTTCATGCCAACACAGCCCAAGAGGTAATCAGCAAACGGCCCAAGCCACTTCCCTGCAGTGTCGAGCTCTCTATGTACCCATAAGCAGCCAATACAGATGATGAGAACGCCCGCACGTACCTGTCAAAATCCTCCGGCATGCAAGGCGCAGCGGCAGACATTGAGGACAGGTTGGAGAAAGCCTCCGTATCAGCCACATATTCAGCCTCCTGCCTTTGCACCATCTCAGCCTGAAACTCCGGGCTCTCCTCCTCCAGAAAACACTTCACAGTTTGATTGAGCACATGGACTCGCTGCGGGAGAGGCGAGTTGGTGGCCTTCGCCTTTGCGCAAAGCTCCTTGAACTTGTGGTCAACCACAGCTTTGATTAGGGTGTCGTAGTAGCTCATAGTACTGATAGGGAGGGACACGCCGGGGTGCTTTTGCCTGCGCAGTGAAGTTGCAGAGGACTTTCTCGACGGTGTCCACCTTCTTGGTAGTCAACGTCTTCTGTCCGTGGTACTGGAACCACCATTGAATCTTCTGTGGCGGCTCAGTCAGTAAACAGCGTGCCATATGACCAAAATGCTACGTACATCACACGCAGAGTAGTAGAGGTCGTGGCAGCAAGCTGCCTCCTTTAGCAACAGCCTGGTGTGACTACGGACCTTGTCCAGGTCGTTCTCCAACGGGTCTTCGTTGGCATCAGAAAGATCTGTCTCGATTGGAAGGTCCCAGCCCTATTTCTTGAAGAAGAGCAGAGTGACATTGTTGTAGAATGTGGAGGGGTCGTTTAGGTCCTCGGCAACCTTCCAGGCATTCAAACGGCTGGCTAAGAAGCGATACTTCGTGCCTGTCGCCTACCGTGGGGTTGGTGCCTTCTTCCTTGACTTTCTTTGCCTTCCGCTTACGAGGTTGAGCGACGCCGGAGCCTGCCCTACCCATCAGAACCTGAGAGAACTTGGACGAAGGGGGGACAAGATGCACGGATGACGAGGGGGAGGGTTGGTGACATGATGATCATAAGGCTTACCGCTGGGTGTCGTGCATGAGAACACCGCTTTCCATATATGGAAATCATCGCTACCGCTGCACTCCCCTGACTGGCCTCATTTGTCATTTCGGCCATTCACATAGTCTCGCTTGGAGGATGACTCTCACATCTGACAAAAACCGTCTTCGCAGCCAACCGTGTACTGTTTGCTTGCTACTTGCATCTGTCCAGCATTCCAAAAAAGCCCAACGAACACTCTATATAAACTGCCCCCTGGACCTCAACTGTGCCCAAGCCTCCTTCTCCTCTTTCCTCCACCATCTATACTAGGCTGCACCCACCTCCACACTTGATACTTGCACTGCTTCTTGCTATGTCCGCACACCGCGTCGTCGACATCCACGACGATGACACTGACAACGATGACAATGTGATGTCGCTTGACGACAGCGTGCACGCGCGCGACAACGGAAGGGTGCGGGAACGCGAGGCACGGTACGACATAATGTGTACTGTAATTGCTGTCGCAGAGATACCTGTGGTGGGACGTGTCGCGCGGCGACATGTCGTGTGCAGCAACTTCATTGCCTACTATCTCAGGCAAAATTGTAACATGTGGTGCAGGCAAAACAAGGGAAATTATATCCAGTCCACAAGGACGCCTCCTTGGAGAATCACTATCTACTGGACCATCATTGCAGCCCAGGCAGAAGCAGACAATGGCTTCATTAAAGCCATGCGGTCGGGTTACAAAGATGACCCAACATTCCGCAAAGTACTGGAACAGCCGACTCAACATCGTGCATTTACCACGCGCAGTGGGTTGATCTATAGCCAAAACAGACTAAGTGAGGAGGTATTGTGCATACCCTGCATGCTACATCAACAACAAGCCATTATTGAGCTCGTAAAAGACCGAGCACATACAGCGCTTGGTCACTTGGGACCCCAGTGCACGTCGGAATACGTACGAAGATGGTTTTGGTGGCCTGCGCTGCGCAAGGACATTGACAAGTTTTGTACGACTTGTGGTGTATGTAATACGATCAAAATTAGTACGCATATGCCATATGGATTTCTGCATAGCATGCCGATTCCATTGGCTCCATGGTCCTCTTTGGCCATGGATTTCTTTGGGCCGTTTCCAGTGTTGAACGGGTATGACTACATATGGGTAGTCGTATGTAGACTTACGTCAATGGTACATCTGATACCTATTCGTACTACAGATAGTGCCGCGGATTTGGAACTAATATATTTCCGAGAAGTAGTCCATCTTCATGAACTACCCGAGTCCATTGTGTCGGACAGGGACTCAAAGTTCACTTCCAAATTCTGGAAGGATTTGCATCACCTAATGGGTGTGAAGCTACTTATGTCCACCTCGTTCCACCCTCAAACGGATGGACTCAGTGAGTGAAGCATCTGCTCGGTAACTCAAATACTTCGAGCAAATGTGTCGCCCGATCAACTAGATTGGTATGAGAAACTACCAATCGCCCAGTTTGCAATAACCTTGGCAGTGAGCTCAACTACGGGCTTTGCACCGTTTGAACTCAACTACGGATATATTCTGCGGTCCATGAGTGGCATAAGCACTTATTCGCCATTCAAGGGAGTGCAGGAATTTGCACTTTGGGCCAAGGCCTACCTTGAAATGGCTCATGACTATGAGAGCACGGTGTCAGGCTGGGCTGTAAGCGAAGCGGAGAGGCCTCAGTACGCATGCTCGAGTGAGAGCAAAGACTAGTATTAGTATGTACCTGTAAGCGAAGCAGAGAGGCTAGGTACATAGTAAGCAAATGTAACACAGTAATGAATGGATGGCGAGCTCACCCTCAGTACGTGTGCTTGAGTGAGAGCAAAGACTGAGGGGGCGCATTGCGCAGCGGCGGGTATAAGTGAGTGAGTGAGCGAGCGGTAAGGTATGGCGCGTGTGCCAAGGCGGCACACGGTGTGCGATAATGAACGAAAAAGGAACACGTAGCACTAAATATGGGAGGTATCATACTGGAGAAACAGGCGGGAATCTAGCGGTACCGTATCATATGGGGGAACAATACATGCGCGGGCTAGGTGCGCACCTCAACACCGACCTGCCACTCCTCGTGATTGAGGGCAGTGGTGGTCGCGCTCGGGATTGTGCTCCAACAATGACACCATCATAGAGGCAAGGGTTCGGCAAATGTACCATGCCAACAAACATAGGCAGGTTGAACCCGAATTTGAAGTTGGGGACAAAGTATACTTGTCGACTAAGAACTTGTCAACACCCAAAGGACAAGCACGCAAGCTCGTTCCCAAGTACATTGGCCCGTATGCCATTGTGGAGAGCTTGCCCGAGACGTCCAATTACGTCTTGGACTTACCTGCGGAGCTAAAGAACCGCAGGATTCATCCTTGATTCTACATCTTGTTATTAGGACATTACGAACCCAACGACGATGCGATATTTCCACATCGCAAAGCCAAGTCCTATTACGACTGCGGCAACAAAGAATCTACCAAGTGGCTGGTAGATGAGATAGTGGGCCATGAGTGGAAGGGCAACAAGTGTCAATTCCACATAATGTGGACACTAGGAGATCACACCTGGGAACCGTATGAGCACTGTAAGGAGCTTGTAGCACTAGACGACTACTGTTGTCTAATGGGAGTATTGTTGTGGTGTGTGTTGCCACGAAAGACTTAGGCCATATTGTGCCCAAGCACCAGAGCCTAGCATGGCTCTGGTAGAGTGTGCACGTGACCGCAAAGAGGTCAAGCACCGAGACGTGTTGCGTGAGATTTCAGCCACCAACGTGATTGAAACTCCGCTGGTGTTTAAATATGCGAAGACGTCGCAGGGTCATAACCGACTCTGCCAAGTCACCACCACCACCGATACACGCAACCTCAAGCATGAATGGTGGCAGCAACAGCAACAGCAACAGCACCAACACGCCCATGGACACGGACGCACAGGGGTCACAGCTGTTAAGACGACACCTTCGAGGGTTGTGGTAATGTCCAGGTGCAAGGGCCTAGCAGGCAGGAGAGGAAACTCGAGTTCAAGGGTGAAGGTGATAGATAACTAGGTTGAGCTGAGGAACATCCTCAGCTCTCCAGGGGTCCTAATATACATAGAAGCCATGCAGGACTGGTGCATGCTAGGGGAGGCAAGCCTGCTACCTACGGGACCGTAACAATGAGGTGCTGCCTCATGGTGTCCATACCATAGCTGTACCGTATCTGTCGGATTTTGGTTTTGAGCGAGCGAGCGCCTGCTCGCCGGCGCTTGCCGAAGCGTTCAGTATCGTACGCGCGACCCGTTTTGTACGCCATCCGTTTGCCTTCGTACCACGACGCTACCGTATGGGACAAACGGAATACTAGTCTTTTCTTACTCCTGCCGACGTTTTCTCGATTGCTCCAACACAAACGGATCCTAGCCAGTCTAGCCGGCTAGTAAAATATAGGGCTACGAGGTCGAGCTGCGAAGATTGAACTCCCTCGCCGCTGTCGTCACGAGTCGACCTGCCGCCGTTCTCTCAAGATGGACCGCCGATGACGATCGTCGTAATTAAAGCCGCCTGACGAGGTGCACCAGGGCAAGGCCGCCGCACGCTGAGGAGACTCTCGACGATGAGTACTCCGATTATTTTCTATTCCCTTCGAGACGTGCCACCCCGAGTCGAGATCCGAGATGATCCCCGATGAAGACTTGCCGATGAAGATGACCCCTTTGCCAAAGAAGAAGACGATGATGACGATGATGAAGACGAGGACGACGACTTGCCCGGTGGAGCCGAAGCGAACCGGCGATGAAGCTGATTGCAACCCCGTGCCCGTATTTCCCCCCACCACCTCGAAGTTGATGGCGCCACGCACTCACCCCACGCGCCCTCTCTGCAACGAGAGCTGCTCGATGTTGATGCTACGTGCTCACCCCGCACGCCTCTCGATAGCGAGACCCGCCCCATCCCCGACCTGTCCCTGCCGCTTCCGGAGACGAGCAGCCGCTTGCTGAGATGGAGATGAAGACGACGCCCTCCCCCTTTGTGTCTCGATGATGACGCATGTTCCCTGCTGAAGAAGATGAAGAAGATTTCCCCCTCCCTGCCAACTCAATGACCGAGTTCTCTCCCTCTGTGTCTCGACGATGACACATGGATTCCTGCCGAAGAAGACACCGCCTACCCCGCCTATCCCGCTGATCGCCGAGTCAAAGTGCACGTCACTCAAACTGTTTGCACAGATTATTGGTCGCCGAGCATGGATGAGCTCGTGGAGGTGTCTGATCCTGCTGCCGAAGAAGCCCGCTGACGACGATGGAGTTTTTTTGAAGGGTGTTTTTACTTTGTGGGGGTGCGAGATGTTTTTTTCTTGTTTCCTTTGTTTATTTTCTGAGCTGCTCGCGAGGCGCACGCTCGTGGGGGTGTGTCGGATTTTGGTTTCGAGCGAGCGAGCTCCTGCTCGCCGGCGCTTGCCGAAGCGTTCAGTATTGTACGCGCGACCCGTTTTGTACGCCATCTGTTTGCCTTCGTACCATGACGCTACCGTACGGGACAAACGGAATACTAGTCTTTTCTTACTCCTGCCGACGTTTTCTCGATTGCTCCAACAGTATCTACGTGTAGTCCATCCACATCAGTAACATGAGGCGTAGGTGAGGCATAGGTGAGGTATGATCAAAGTCCATGTCCGAGACACCCGGACTGTTGTAACAGCAGCAAGCAGCTCCTGTGGCGTCAGGATCGCAATTCCCGATGGTCACACCCCCACAAGCATCAACCAGCTACGCCCCGCCCAGCGTAGCCCAACAACAGTACCTGGTGGTGTACCCACAGGTGTTTCCTTTATGTTACATCCCGTGTGACAGCTACTCTGATTTTTGGGACTTCATTCCAACTTCCGGGACTTGCACCCTTTTCCGGGACGTATCTTATTTCCGGGACTTGGTACTGTACTTCCGAACTCCCAGAGCTCCGGCCGTACCTCTGGTCCTTCAACTTCTGAACTCCCGAACCTCCATTTGTATTTCATACGTCTCATATTGTGTCATTCTCTTTTTGTTAGCGCCATAACAATACTTTTATTGTCTTCTGCTCCGGAACACCATTTCCGTACTTCCTTATTGTCTTGGCTAGACAATAAGCTTACGTACTACTTATATTGGGCTGGAATACCATAGTTACTCAGTTTGAATATCTCATTTACCATATTCTCTTCCATCCTGTTTGTTACCTCCCATACCTCCCCTTCGCTACCTTCAATCCAACTACTTGTCAACCTCCAAACCTCCAAACCTCCGCACTTCCGAACCTCCGAAATTAAGGGCAAACGGAACAAGTCCCAGGGTGTTGCTAATAACCTCGCCGAAGTCCTCCCGCTGAGTTGTTGTTCGTTAACCTCTGAACCTACGTACCCCCGGAATTTGTACTACTGCATTTTCGGGTTTTTGAACCTCCGCATTTTCGGACCTTTGGACTTCTGCTCAGCACACTCCTAACACTTCAACAAGGTATGCCTTCGGGCTGCCTCAGCAGCAGCAGCAACAGCAGATGGTGCCCCAGGTAACAAGCATGCCACACATGGGCATGCAGTTTGGACCTCTGGCAGGGATCCCGTTCATGTCATTCTCAACAATGACATGGGCCCCCATTGCCGACCAGCAGACACTGGTCGCGCATGGGAGCAACTGCCTGTTGTGTGTGGAGTTCCTCCACCACTATGCAGCAGGGGCTTCCGAGCAGTTGTTCCGGGTCACGCAAACGCGCGTCCAGACCGAGCTATAAGGCCGGTTCTGGGCGCACTTCAAGCAACACACTTGCTCGGAGGGGGGAAGGGACCGCGAGTGTATGGCGGAACTCGAGACCCATCTGCAGACATTGCAAATGGAGCACAACTCAGAGCAGGAGCGGTTGCGTTGCTACCGAGAAGAACATGACAAGGCCCACCTCATCCAAGACAGGCTGGAGCAGGAGCGCAACAAGGCTTGCCAGCAGCTCGAGGAGGAGCAGCAGCAAAGGCAGGCCACGTTGACGACAGCAACATTGTCAACAAGGCTCACCATGCCTCCCAACCAGAGCACGTCGCACTGTCGCCGCGATCCGAGGGAGGAAAGCCCTCGGAGGCATATGGCTGGGCCCTCCATGTCTTTTGCGATGCCCTACCCCACTCAGTTGAATATGGCTGGGTCATCCAACCCCTACCCGTCCACCGCGCACAGGTCGTCTATCGAGCACCCAATGGTTGACTTTGAGAACACCTCGAGTGACGAGGAGGTGGACAAGCGCTGATTACAGCGACTAGCTGAGCGTCAACAATACCACGAGGTGCGTCACAACCCCGGCACGTCGGTGGGGCCAGGACAAGGTGTGCCCTTCTCGATGAGCTCATCCACAGCTCAGTCAACTTGTGTGGCTCCAGGATGGCCACACCCTCTCATGGCATTGCCCATGGACGGCAACCCACGGCAGGTGGGGCACTACTACAACTTACAGCCCCACAAGGCCTATGGAAGACGTCCAGGACACGGCAGACACTGCATCTGTTGGGTCCCATGCTCTGTCCCCGGTGCCCCAGTCGTCTGCTGGGTCCAGTCGTGCCAGCTCCCCCACCTGCATCCACTCCCCCACATCCGCCTAAACAGACCCTCAGCTGAGGTCCGTTTGCATTCATTCTCGTCCCGTGCATCTGTCATGTGCAACTACTACTACCATATGATGGTAGGACTGCTCTGATTTGCAGTCTAGTTTCAATTTGCATCCTCACGCGACCATATTACGTTCAAACATATGGTATGACTGCCCCTACTGGCAGTCCTTAAACAGTGAAAAAACCCTGCCACCGTATTGCGTTACAATACGGTATTACTGCTCCAAGTTGCAGTCATTCCCTCTCCTTCACAATGTCCCACTGGTGTTGTATATACTCCACAAAACTACATGGGTGCGACCATCTCGCACCAACAAAATTCAGATGGTAGTGCTGCTACAATTTGCAGTCAAACATTGTACATAAAATGGTTTGTGGTTCAGTATCATCGAGGAGCCCCAATTGGCTCCTCCATCACCCTTGTATTATAACAAAGGGGTCGCGTACGCACCACGTGCAACCTTGTATATTTTGGTGCTAGCACTGCTACAATTTGCAGGTGTTCACCACCAACCTTGTATCATACACAAACACAACCTGTATGTTGTGTCTAGAGGGGGAGAGTGTAATGACCCAGTACGAGGTCATTACACGCACGTACATCCGCTGACCCAGCGTCATAAGCGCTGGGCAAAGATAAGACAAAACATGTATTAGATAGATGTGTACAGCGTGCGGGTATTTGGAGCCCGCGCGCCTGGTGCGGGCAGCCTTTCTAAACTGCCCCACCATCCTCCAAGTATGCCGAGCTTCAATAGAGCCCGGACCAGAGTATTTGAAGGATAGGGGCGACAGATTGTGCCCCTACAACGTGAGTTTTACACTTGAGTAGCCCAAGAGATATAAGCTCCCAGAGGTTTGGAATAGCTATGTGAGAGTGGCCAGCACCAGAGCAGACTATCAGTACCACTTACATATAGGATTCTCAATCTCAGCCTCTACGGGTGGAATTGAAGTCTGATAAAACCAACGTACCTGAGTTGATTTAAAGCAGATAATTCTAGACGAGTGTTCTGGACCACATAGGTGTAGTACAGGTGGTGCAGTTAAGAGGGAAAGTGACGGAAGGCACGAAGGGAGCCTCAGTGTCGATGAGGGGGAAAGGGAAAGGAGGACAGAGGCCACAAGAAATGTTCCACCAAAGGTCATGCATCCGACCTCGGTGCATCACATAATGTGGCGAGGGAGTCCCATCTGACGTGACAGGATGCATGAATGCACGATGCCCTGCAGCGTGAGCATCGGTGCATACACAAAAGTAGAATCATAGGGCAAGTCGGTATTCGAGGTTGTACTGCCGATGGTCCTTGACTTCAGATTTATTCCACAGGAGCTCACACGCCCATGCTACTCAAAACTCACACAGAAAAGCATATTCTGCATATCATTGTAAACCTTCCCCTGACGTGACGGGGTGTTCATTCGTATATATGGCATAGCCGGGCAAAGGTATGCAAACCCCCGCCGCGCAGGGCCAAGGTTTGCATACTGCCAACCTGCCTTTTTGGGATATGCACATGTGGCCCGGTGCTACATAATCATGCAGAGTTTGTGCACTTTCGCTGATGTTCCCTGGATCGCCCTGCCACCGACCATATACGCAGTGACTAGGCTCATGAATGCAAGGGACCCATGCCAGCCGCCCAGCTAAATGGGTGTGGGGGCGGGTGCGGTTTCGCAGAAGCCAGCCCTGCACAAAGACATGAAGAGAGTCTGTGTTACGTGTACGGATCTTCACAACCACGTACACCTGCGGCCGGGTCGAACTGCATAACAGCATTCCTGCGTTCTAAATCCGACCTAGAAGCGACCCGTAGGCAGTGGCAGGGGTAGGGGTAAAGCATAGGGGTACACGCAGATTGACCCGCAGGTAAGGGGTACAGGTACCAAAAATAGCGACCCTCCATATACCCCTACCCGTGACAGAGGTTGAGGTATCCCTGTAGGGGTAACCCCTATATATACAAGGGCAAACACTTCAGCTCTGATCTGGATTGCACTGCCACACTCTACCAGTCTCCAGCGATGCGAGGGAGCATCGAGGCTACCATAAAAGGACATTCAGCCACCCACCGGCATGCTCCAGAATCGCAGGCCTACTGGGCAATAGACACACTAGCGTGAAGATGTAACTCCGCAATTGATTTTGTGCCACACAACTGTACAGTTCCAGCACTCAGAGAGGTACATGTCCAGCATGCAGCTTGCCATGCTATAGATCAAACCTCCTCTTCCACTCAATCACACTCGCAAGCTTCATATCAGGTTCTGTGTTCCATCTACACCTTTATCAAAGTCATGCTATGTGCTAACCCATCACAGACGTGGGATGTAGGTCAGGCAAACGTGTCAACCCGCCATCGGCGAAGGTCAAGGAGAAGACGAAGCCGTCGGGCGGGGGAATCTCAGAAGAAGTTGCTCAAAAAACAGGCCTGCCAAAGACAAGAAGACCAACGGCAGCACCGCCGGCGACAAGACTGATGACGACGGGAGCTCAGACAACAACGAGCGTCCTGCAAAGAGAACCGCACCGCTTCCAGACGACCATTGAGGAGATCGAGGATGTGGATGCACACGCCGGCAAGAACAAAGCAGCCCCGAGGGCAGG